ACTCTATATATATATATATCACTCTATCAGGAGCGGTCAATGTAGGCACTCTTTTACTCCTAATCACTCTTTTGCATTTAGAGCATACAGGTTTTTCATGACTGAGATGTAAACTAAACCTTGGTACAGAGCTATTAGGTGGTTAAGTAGTTCGATTATGGAGGAATTAGTTTAGTTATAAACTATTTCAAGGTTCGATTCTCAGCCTGGGAGGACTCAGTCGGTGTGAAGTGGACAAAAAAATTGAGTAAATGTGATGTGGTTGGTTTACCTGTTCAATATTACTTTATTATCTTGTCTGGCTATTGCAATTGTATATAAATGAAATGTTTATTCCTTGTGATAGAGGACAATAGCCCATTGATGGCATGTTAAGCAAATAAATATGGAATGGAATTGAATGCACCAGTTAAATAATTGCTGCCCTTCATTTTCTGTAGTGTTGATGTGCTTGAGTACGGGCCTACTATAAATTCTATAAAATTAGCGTAATTGTCATTATTTACTTATACTTCTAAAATTCAATAATTCTTAAAATAAGTCTGTTTTTTAAATGTTAATTAATACAAAATGAGTACCGTAGCCTATTCCATCACACGATAGTCGTCGTCCACAGAAATAAAACAAAATCATTGAGATTCGGATTACATATTTTAAGATGGAGACAGCAGAAATGTTGTTTTAAACTAAGTATACAACGTGCTTTTTGGTGACATTAAAAACCTAATTTACTTTTTATGTAGATTTAAAATACCGTTTATATTCTTAGCATAGATCTACTAGACCAATTTATTTGCTGGTATTTATTAAATTTTAGGATTTTAATAAGTAAAATACTATACAAAAACTGCTTATTTAGATGTACTGTATGTCTGTAATTTGAATTTAATAATCGTAGTCGTGAGAGTCGTATCACGATCATCATTGGAATCACCACCGTAATCATAATCGGTATCACCATAAACATTGTATCATTTGTCATCTTTAATTACATTCGTCTTCATCATATTAACATCGTAACCAACATCATTCTCGTTATCATTATCATCATCATAGTAATACCATCATTATCTATTGTCATTGTTAATACCATTACCACCAACCGTTCGTTTTCATAATTGTCATCATCATCATTTTTTTCCCTAAAACATTGTGCACAAACTTTCACACAATTACAATATTTACACTGGTGGCGGGCAGTTACTTTCCAATTATTTATTATTGTTTTCACAGAAAATCACTTTTCCGACTGGGGCAGTGTACTAACAACTTGGTGAATGAAATCCATAGCACCAATGCTTGACTAGTCACACGAAAATTTAAATAAAACAAGCTCATGTGCACGGAATATTCAGGTGGTGTGTACTATAAATAATGGTTAACAAACAGCAAACATTGCACTGCACGTCAACACACCACCAGTATAGCTGCTGGCCGTGCCAAGGCAGCTAACTTGCACCATTTTACTTTCATTTTAGTTGATATTTTTTAGTTTATCTACTTTAAGCGGATCTGCGGTAGTCTGCTCCATCTACAACAATTAATCGATTGACGATTCTACAGAAATTACTTCACCATACAGATGCATAACACCAAAAACGTCTACGGTGCTTGAATACAGAAGTGAAAACAACAAATTGTACTTTTATTTTTGACTTAAAATCCAGCAGACAACTTCGGCCATTTTTATTTTCAATTTAAGTGAGTACTAGTAGTAGCCTACAGTTTATAATACATTTTAGTAAAAGAAACCGAATACCGAAGAAAAATGGTGGCGCACTATCGATTTTCATGACTTTGTTATTATTGCAGATTCCTCCTTCCTTGGCCGAAGTCCAGATTCGCAACTTCCAATTACAAATTGATTTATAATTTATCGTTCAACCGTATTTTACAATCACCATGGTAAGTATTTCCTACAGTCTGCTAAAATTAGCCAAAGCAAAATAAAAATTACTAAATCTACGCTGATAACACTTGCATGTCTTGTTTTACCCCTCAGCAAGTATTGTATTACATCAACAAAGCTGCCTATAGCTGTGCTTTATATTTTTCTTTCAACCAACAAAATGCAGAAACTGGGAAAGAATTAAAACTCCACAGAAGTAAGTTTTGTTTTTGTACTTTTTAATATTGATGACTGTACCTAACTACTACATATTACATATTACAAGCTTTGTTTCTTTTACAGACATGAAATGATCGCACTCCACAAAGTACGTTTAAATGGATTTTGATCATCCCATGCTGTGCACTCACTCAATGCCGCCTGCAGCATTCGCAGAAGACTTCAAACCACTGAATGCAGGCTTTCCCACAGAGCAAATTTAGCACATTATTATTTAATTTATAAAATTTCCATTTATATGTACTTTTGCTCTACCAATAAATATTCCACTTATTTAAATCTGTAGTTGTAGTCTCTCTTTTGGTCTTTACGTTGTGTGGAGAGATGCTGATGATGAACAACAATCAATGGCCAATTTATTTAGACACCATATGCCTCATCAGAGTACTGTTGAACTTCTCCAGTTTCTTCATGTCTTGAGCATGCTCGGTTTTGTATTGCAAACACTAAATGTAAATAAAATAAAATAATTAATGGCACGTGTAAATGACAAAATACAAAACTAAAAAAAAAAAAAAAAATAAAATAAAATAAAATGGTGTATTAAATACATTACTTACACGAACATCGTCTGTAACTTTAATCTTCATTGATCCATCACAATGCCTGTACTTCAATACCACTCTAGCCTGCAACAATAAAAAAACATTAAATTCAACTTAATTTTATAAACACACTTTTATTATCCTCAGTAGGCCCTATATTTTTTATTATTGCTATCAATAATTGTTATTATTAAAAGCATATTATCTGTACCCAAATCGATATCAAACCATCGACAACATAGTTAGGCAAGAACCTGTTTAGACGCTTAGTAAGTAGTAGGACAATGGACTGGCCATGCAATGGCCTTGCTTGGTACTCAAGCAAGAAAAAGGCCTAACGACGGCTAGGCTAGGCTACACTAGAGTAGGCCTAGGTGTCATTCATTCATTACTACAGAAATTCACTATTATTTCAGATTAATTACTTACTTTAGAAGGATCTGAAAGGTACAATTTTTCAGCTGCTTTTGAAAATTCGTCCCATGATGTATAGTATGGCATAATGAACTCAAATATTTACATTTACATTAGGTCTCAACCTACAGCCTGTTGTTAAATAAGCGCATAAGCATGTCATAAAAAAAGCCAAGCCACATAAACCAAAACTCATGAGCAACGCTAGCTCGTATTATTTTCCCACAGCAACGCAGCCGGGCAAACGCGTCAAATGCTCTAATAAACGCGTTGACCACATTGTAATACTGTATAGGCTATCCATGGAGGCTCCATGCTATTGCAGTACTATTATTCCCGTTCAATTCAAATGTATTTGTCCAAAAGGAAATTACATTGAGAAAAGGCATTGCTTATGAAATTACAGTATAAAAAATACATCAATATAAAAAGCAAATGAAAATACAGTAACATAATATAAAAATACATTTTTAAAAGTCAATAATAAGATCAGATTGTATTATGGTGTAAAACTGGACCATTTAATTGCCTACTCCTCCTACTGTTTTAAAGAGCAGCTTATCTCTGTCGGCTAAGTGGTAGACAGTTATGATAGCGCACCGTCTTTCGGGTGAGACGTTTAAGCCGTTGGTCCACGGTGTGCATTATGGCCCGTGTGCACGTTGAAGAACGCAGTAGTCTTCGGAAAAGGTTAGGGGATTGTCTCCCGGTGTACCAGGGGACCCTCTGGAAGCAATTATTCTTTTATCTTTGGTATTGTTGTTTAGTTTCTGACGGAATGGGGATAAAAGAGTTCGGATATCTCTTAGCACTTTTTCCTGATGGCAACCAATTGTAATACGAGGACCGATGTATTATCAGACATATGATGCTACTGATCTTATCAATCACTATTTTCAAAACTACATCTTCTAAACAAATGCTTTCTTTAATTATAATTATTATTTGTTATCGTTCTGAATCTGCTTTTCTTACGCTATTGAACCAGATGCTTCATCCAAAAATAATGACACTTTAAAATATAGACTTAAAGAAGAGCTTGAGTATAGTATCTTAACCCTGAAAAGACCGTACAGTAGCTTTCTAAGAAATGGGGACGTGACATACCTTTACTTATTAACACCATTGGTTTCACCACACAAATATAATAAAGTACAAATTCACTGAGCTTCATTTTGAGTTATAAAGAAGTTAAATGTTTGTAATGGACAAGATTATGAGCATGGACCCAAATACTCTTTATAGACCTATTACACAAAAAAAAAAAAAAAAAAAAAAAATTCAATGGTTTACCAAAATATTGTAAAGCCATGGTGATCTATCAGACTCACTCTCAACAACCAAATCAGATTACTAATTTAGTAGCAATGAAGTCAACTGGTATCAGTCAATGACGGCCAAGTCTTGCAAGACTCAAGTATAAGTAAGTACTGTACTGTACAGTAGAAACACGCATACATTAAAAATAAGGACCGGAAATAAAAATAGAAATATCGTGATCATTTGTCTCCCCTCGTGAGCATTTTTACATAGATTGATTGATTTATGCCTAAATACAAATGTAAAAATTAATCTAAAACCTTCAAAACATTCAAAATTTGTGTTGTGGTATTATTGGATTCTTCGTGAATTCTTCTTTAAGACAGCTGTGTTTATTTGTTGGAAATTGGTTGAGTATTAGCGAAGTTCTGAATATTTAATTCATTGGATGTCAGCCATGTAAGTTTTAAGGAAACAGCTTCCAAAGATCCCATAACTTTAATATGCTTTTCAGTTACTTTAAGTGATTGATGTTGTAGAAATGTTCTCAATATATCTTCTTTCAGAAATGTAAAAACCTGAACTTACGCTCAAAATTCTGATTTTCGAACGTTTAAGCCCGGTGTTTGTGCGAAATAGACATTAAATATCATGGTCATGCTGGCCCTCGACGGCTAAAAGTGGGAATAAAATTTAAAAAATGTAAACTAAAAGCAACACCTCTCAAAGGGCAAACGTGTCATAGCGGCACCTACATTGCAATGTGCAAGAATATTCTGTTTATGCTAAAGCGTCACTCAATCACCCGTTCGTTATGTTACTGACGCATTTTCTTCAGGCAAAAATGTTGTGCTTACACGAGAGGGCGCCATTTACTATAGGCCTAATGGCTTGCGACGTGGGACCGGGACGTGCAATGCACGTGAGCGATCCATACGTGATTCACATGAATACAATGTTTAAAAGAAAGCTAGAAGCATTAGGTTATGGTCGAGGTGATTTAGATATCCGAGGTAAACACCTTCTTGGCCTAGGATACTAATTTTGTCACAAAATTAAATACTTACTTACTAGGGCCTAGGCCTATTTCGTATTTATTTATTACTATTTAGGCCTAGACGAATGGGCCCCTACTGTACCTTGTTGAATAGCAGGGGTTCGTAGGCCTAGTAGACCTAGCCTACCGTAGGCCTAGGCCTACTACTAGCCTATGGCCTAGGAGCCTAGTACTACTCTAGGGTCTAACTAGTTAGGCTAGTAGGCTTAGGGCGTTGGCGTATCTAGTTAAGCTACCTACTGTTCAAACCAGGGAACAGTGGAGGTTCAAGAGCTAGGCCAATATTTTGGGCTTACAAATTTAATTTTAAAACAAACAACTACTACAAGCAAATACCTACAATACTTGCTGCAATGAATTCTCATTAAAATTAAAGATGTACATTGCTCTCATGAGGTAATTGTAATTAGAAAAATTCAATACCATATTTGAATTGCCTAATTTGTATATTTAAATGCGCACATGTTCCAAACGTACCGATTTGCTCAGGGTCTCCCAAATTTACATGCAAAATCCTGGTCTGCCGAATTTAGTCAAATTCTCCCAAATTTTGAAAACAAACCACAGAAGACCAATAACAGCCTTTAGAGGCTTTTGTACGAATAATTGATTATTTCTTTATCATTTTTTTAATCAACAATTTCAGCATACAAAGACTTTGTGTTGTTGACACCTCGAAAGATCAAAATGCATGTATTGTATGAAATAAACATGTTTTCAACATGTCTGAGGCATGCCCAGTCTCCCAATTTGTTAGTTCCAGGGGTTGGAATGTCTGAGTATGGTAAATTATTGACTGGCATTACAATTTAAAATTTAAATAAGAAATCAATTTTCCCTGTCAATTGACAGTTAAATAATATTAATACCTTTCCTGTAATCAATTTAAGGATTACTGTGTGGTAGTAAAATGTATGTAAATGAGCAAAAATGATCTGTTTCTGATTAGAAATTAATACATTTTTTGATACTTTTAAATGAGCTACTTAATGTCTTTTTATCAAGTTTTTAAGGTTTTCCAAAATAGCAGACAGTACATCTTTAAGCGCCTCAGCACTTATTTGGTAATTTAGGGGGAAAATGGTAAGTTTATAGTTATTTTATTGTTTTAACATTCCTTGGTTTGTAGATGAAACTCATTGGAGGAATTTTATAATTTGGATCGAAGACATGAAAATCCGGTTCTATGCAATAGAAGATCGTGAAAGCTTACGGAAATCTACTGGTGAGCAATGGATCAAGACCTATGAACAGGTAACCAATATTTGATGAAAGCTCACTTGTAATCACTGATGATTACTGTGATACTTTTGTATCAACTCTAATAATACTATTTTAATAATAATAATATTATTATTATTATTATTATTAAAATAGTATAATAATAATAATAATAATAATAATAATAATAAAATTGCAATGGTAAACCTATTGTACTTTGTTTTGCCACTCTATTTTATTTTAATTAAATTCAATTCAAAGATATTTATTCAACCAATTTTACTGTAAGTACAAAGGTTAAGGAACAGCTTAGAAGCAAATGCTTGTCTTCACTGTCCTATGATGAGTACACCAGTGAGTGCACAACACAATATAGTCAATTGTAGTCTGGGCGGTTATCTGTAACCTACTGGAGGTTATTGAATACTGTCCTAAAAAGATGGCAAAAGCCATTTTTATAATGATTATACTTGTAGATTGTAGCTTTGTGAAAACCCTGCACTGACTAGAAATAATAGATAAATTTTCAACAAAAAATTTTGGTATTATTTTGATTTAGTACTTGAAAGATATAGTGTGCCCGTACATTGGTAGTGATAGGGCAACGATTGCAGAATGGCTACTTGGACATGCTGTAAGACTCGAATATGCAGAACAAGGTATTTGTCTTGCATTAAATTAGGTCTAGACTTTAGTTCTAATCACATTTTAATTCATTTTTCATTCAGTTCCTAAATCCTCATTTTCTGATCAGACATTCAATCATTCTTTCTCTTTCTCACACATCCAACAAAAACCATAGGAAACAATTCTTTTATGTGGTATAAGCACATTACTGGTACAAACCCAACCCCTTACTATCTTCCAGGCAAAAGCCCAGGATATTAAATTATCGTATGTTTCTTTCCAACTAAAAAAATTTACACCTACAGTATTTATCCATATGTTTATTCATGTGTACATGAATATATATATATATAGATCATAGTAAAGATTTAAAAAAAAATGTGTATAAGAGACAGGATGTACATTGCTCTCATGAGGTAATTGTAATTAGAAAAATTCAATACCATATTTGAATTGCCTAATTTGTATATTTAAATGCGCACATGTTCCAAACGTACCGATTCGCTCAGGGTCTCCCAAATAATGAATAAGAGTGTTTGAGTATAAAGTTTATTTATATAGTAGTAATGTTTAGATAATATTGATTTGATTTCTTTTCACAGTTGATAAGTATAAAGCTGTTTCTGTTGAGAGTACTGTGAAAGGAGCATCATCCGAAGATCCCTTCAAGCATCTAAATCGTAAGTTAAACTCCATCAGCTGTATGCATTATTGTCCATATAATGATAATCACCAAATTATTGTTAACGTGCAAGTCAATGAATCCCTTGCAAGGGCTTACGCCGTTTGGATCTGCAAATTAATACTTTTAATCCAGGTGTCCCAAGTCGTCCTCAACTCGTGCAAGTTTTACAGAAATCAGGAAGGCCTCCCGCACTCATGCAAGCAAAAATTATCCCCGAAAATAACATATCTGCCACAAAATCACGATATTTGCATGTTTTTACTACTCTGTTATCAATTGTGTCTCGGAAGTGAGTGCCAATGTAAATCACCATGTACAGCAAGTGGCTTCTTCCAACTTGAGAGCCCCTGTTAATCCAATAACTTCATTGTTGCGTCAGACGACATGGTCCATGCTTGTCCGAGAGGAGGAAATTGTTCCCCCACCCTCTCTTGACAAGCAATGGTTTACATAAACTTGCATTAAATGTATACATACTGCCAATGCCAGTTTGATGAGTTTCAGGACAGCACATTTTCCTGAATACCACGTAAGTCCGTTTAGGTATTTACCCAATAGTTTGGCAACTACTTCAGTGTATCAAAATATTTAACATACTTTTGCCATCATTATAATTTTACCTTATGCCTGTATATTATATATTTTTTAAACTACAGCTGAGGATCCCAACTTCAAAGCTGGATTAGCATCTATTTGCAGATTACTGAAAATGCCAGAGCATTATGACCAAGAGGTCACTTTAAGAGGGGTCAGCGTTTTAATTAGGCAAAGGTTATCTAAAGAGGCTTTAGAAGATGAAAGCCTTACAAGTCAAGAGGTATTTTTTTAAATAACAGTAATAATAGTGAATATTTGTATACTGTAGCATCGGTACACACTGTAGCTCCGGTATTCACCCAACCTGACGCTCATGGCGCTCAATGCGTAGACCTATCTCGTTCAGTAAATTCCTGCATCCCTGAGAGTCTCATCGTGTCTTAGCTTACCCGGAAAACTGGTACCAGCTACTTTCGTCTGTCCACCACAGGGACTGTATGAATCAGCACACCAGGGTAACCCCCCCCCACTCGTCTCGAATGATGTACTGCGCATGAGCCTATTATGTACATTGGGCCTACAATTTATAGTCTTTATCCGAGAAGACTTGTTCTACCAGCAGAACAACAGGCAAAGGCAAGCATGCTGCTCAAATCAGCCACTGGAATGATGCCTATGGGGAAATTCCATAGGTTGCTGCATAAAACTTTCTCAACTAAAAAATCATTCCACATTTGTTAAATCTATTAGCAATGTCAGTATACATATCCAAGTTTATTGAGTGACATACATTGCATTACATTACTAATTCAATCAATCAGTAAGTCTGTAAGAAAACATAATTTTCTTTAGAAAGAATAAAAAAGAACAGTTCACTGTTGCACTGATAAAGCTTAGGCATCTGATACCCATTTAAAAAAGACAAAATGTTAAAAAAAATATTTCTACTGGGATCATTAATGTTTTCACATGAGTAAATTCAAACCATGTTCAAAATCGATATAGTCTTGTTGGCACATTAATCCTAAGTGTACCTCTTATAAGATTTTTTTTTGCTAGTGGGTATTAACATGAATGTAACTAAATATATTAGAGTATTACTTTTGTGTCTGGTTGTGGCATATGTTAAATTACTATTACATATACAGTTATTCCAATATTATTTTTAGCTCAATTACATTATTTTTACTGTTTAAATATCTATGAAAAGATGAAAGAAATAAATGTTTGTTTGCTATTTTGTAATTTACAGGGTAGCAAGATTAGTCTTGAAGACTGCCCTCTAGGGTTTGATACAGGTGGTATGTAGAATTACTGAAATTTCATATTCGCTCCAATTTCTAATAAATTTTAGTGGTTTTTAAATTATAAATGCATAATAACTTTTAATGAATAAAGAAGTTCTTGACGAATCTTGAATGTATTTATACAGTACATGATTAACTTTGTTTTTCTCATTAACAGACAAAAACTTGAATGAAGCTGCTAAAATATTACGTCTCCTACATGTGAACGAACTTAGAGAACTTCAAACAAGGATAAACGAAGCGATAGTATGTGCCCAAAGCGTAACAGCAAATCCTAAAACAGATGAAAGATTAGGAAAAGTTGGTAGATAGTAGATACACAGAGGATAAGGAATACTATACAGTAACAGAGGCTGTGAAATTTTGCAGTGTTTTTAGTGGAATTGGCAGTAATATGCAGTAGTATATATGCATGCATAAAATGTGATTGAGAAATCTTAAGTAGCATGGAATTATACTTACTGGTGAAGTTTCTTTTTCGTTCAAGCTCTTAGCCTGAACCAGGAACAATGCATGTCACTTTATTTATTAACTGTAGCAAAGAAAAAGCTACCATATTTATTTTCTTGAATACCTCATAATAGAGAGCATTGCTCGGGCTGAATTTCTTTTTCCAAATTTTATGCCAATTATCAGAAAAAATATAAGAAATAGGAGTTCATTCAATATAGTACTGTAGAATAATTTGTTCAACCTTTTGAACAGGCATTATTTATTGATACTTTGATAAGAGCGATTTAAAGTTTTAATTTAATTTCTGAGGTTTTATTATATTTTAGGTCAAGTATCATCTTTAAACACACCTACCAGTTTGTAGGACTACTACTTAATAATATTAATAAAATATGACACTCATTGAATGAGCCAAAACACAATTGTGATACAGTAATTCGTTATTTATTCATTAGGCCTATGTACTTAACTCTAGAGTAATAAATGTCTTGTATTTATATCATACATTCCATTTACTGAAAAAAGTGCTGAGCTAGAAATAAGCATGCATTAGTGATAATAAGGAGGTTTTGCATGCGTACAGAAAACGAGACTTGTGCATTTTGAGACTGCGTACATGTGTGTTCTAAGCAAGAACAGAGTGCAAGGATAGTTAAGATTAGGAGTGCACTAGCTGATTGTGTGTTACGAATCCTCTCCACTAATAATAAATTATTTTAACTGATGTATAGAATAGGCTTCTTGGAGCGTGTGTCTAATGGTATTGTGACGTAACACTGTAGTACAGTACTCTATAACATCCAAGATATTATTTTTTTAATTTATAACAGAATGCTCATAAAATATTTCAGTGAATTAATTTTAATGTTTTACTTCGATGTGGGTTTTTAGTGTGCATGAACACACTTGAAAAAAAACTTTGGCATGATGGATTAAATAATGGATCCTGCAGGACCTCTAATTAAACAGAATTATTGCCATTGTGTTTATTGATTGAAGTTGGCTCAAATGGTTTCCCACGTTTTGCAACTTTTAGAAAGAACATAAAGCCATAAAGCCACACTACAGTCCACCTAAAATCAGGTGTACTTTCCAGAGTGATATTCAAACTTAACAGCTGACCAATCAGAACATCGCTAAGATTATGCGATTGTCCTACAAACACACATGTCCCACAGAAGTATGTATGCTTTGTTGGATTTAGCAACATTATTCGAGGGGCGGGGGCTCTTAGCGGAAAGGTCCGGTGACTTCGACTGTCGAACCACTAACATCAGAACAGTTTGTATAGAATAACGGTACAATGTAAGCATGGGTCAAAAGCAAGATACCTGTAGTAGCAGAGATACACTTCCTGTATTAAAATAAGTTCTCGAAAGCTCCGATGAGGGCAGTATAATACAGGCAGTAGAGTATATTGGCCCTAACATAATAATTGCCCTACAAAAATTACCAGCCAATTTGGGTCTATGCAAATAATAAGCAACTTTATTATTACTGTATGTTAATGTTTTTCATTAATTTGTTTTATTGTAACTTCATAATTTGTTTTACTATCCTTTATCCTGGGACTTAATTAAATACACAAATTCAATTTAAATATATTTTTAGCTCATGAAGGAATCCTGTACAACTTTAATCAAAGCCAAAAAAATATTTAGTTTATTAGTGTGTTAAATTAATATAGAAATTGTCAAACATAAATTTACCATCAAGGACCATCAAGCTCTAAATCCAGGGGCCCAGAACTTAATTAAGGGGCCTGAGATAATAATAGATTTTTTTTAGCCAGGGCTCCAAATTGGCCAAGCTGGGCCCCTCCTTAAGTGGCAAAACGTGTAAAAAACATCAAAAACTTTAAAAAAAAACAGATAACACAAAGATAAATAATATTCGCTCGCAATGCATCAGATGTTCCTTTCCAGTTACTCTCATGACGATTGACGACAGTTTTTGCGCGGTAAAACAATGTTGTAGTTAGGCAACCTTATGGTATTTTCCATAGCTCAAATTTTAAAAGTCTTGTGAAATTCTAAGTAGCCTATAATCTTTCAATCAGATATTTCAAAACTTTTCTGATTTTTAAAATCCTTCAATCGCATGATGATGTGTTGCGGCGCTTATTCGACGATTTACGGACGAGAGGAGATTGAGGTGCGACACGGGAAAGGGAGAAACGTAATTGGGAGTAAGAGACATTGCATTGACGAGAAGTTTCTTTCTATCTTTCGAAGATTTCAGATGATGTAGTAAAGGTTGTAAGACAATTACAAATTTAACTCTCCACCTGGACAGCATAGTATCCATCCCAGGGTTTTGAAGGAATTCCTTTAATCTGCTGCTCCTTTGTATATAATAATTAGTGTCTGGTTATCCTTAATAATTATATGTCAATTCCCATTCTCGCGACGTGTCTCGCTGTACGATTCTCCATAAGCTTTTGTTAGACTGTTAGTCAGTTGTTCGCAGATTATTGAAGAGTATTTTTGAGATGTGGTTGTCAACCAGATTATTTGGTGGCTCTTTCATTTCTTAGATCATATTTGACACAAATTCTGAAACTCTTTCAAGATATACTAGATGCTATATGACAATAACAGACTGACGATTCAGACGAGCGTCCGAAACTTGCGTCTTTCAAAGGATCCGTCTATTCGGGTACCAATTACACTTGGTGTACCCAAAGACTGGCCCTTTGCTAATGACAAATGCAAGAATGAGGACCTTATGGTTTTAAGAGACGAAAATTTTAAAGATTGTGAGCAAGGTGAGTTTATTGTCAATCAAGAAACAGTGAAATATTCGTTTAAAATGAATTACGATTCACTAAATTTTAAAAATTAAAACATAAAATTGCCTTGCTTATTTTATTGATTTTTAGCTACAAAGTATCTACTAAACGCAGCCTGTAACACTTCGTTCAACATATAATAGGCCTACCATTATTCAGCCTAATCATTGGTGGCCTATACTAAAGATACACAGCAAAATCCTGTTATAATAAACCTTTATGAAAAATACTCTAACATTATATAAAATACGAATGCCATATTTGCTATATCAAAAAATAGGCTTTAGAAAATTACCCTTTGAAAATAATCTCTAATTATATAAGTTTTTCACTCAAAATAATGCTTAATAATTACATGCTATGACTATTTAGACTATTTAGCTACAACAATATCAACATGAAAAAGAGCTTGCCTACTTCGAAGAGATTGTCGCATGCATTCTTTCTATTAATATTGTACATTTGGTGATATTACATATTACAACTTTTCAGTTTTCTATTCATTTATTTAATAATTTTCAATGTTTAATCAGGTTTCTAAAAGAATACCTCGCCATGCAGAATACTAAATTTATACAGCTCTTTAAATTCTATACTGAAAATACAATGCTTGAAAGGTGTACAAATATACTATTACAGGCTTATACTATCGAAAAATTCATGAACATGTACAATAATTTTTTTAGAAATATAATCGCACAAGAATCAAATCAAGACGTGTTGAAAAACGAGTCTCTGGAACCCTGGATGATTTCAATCCCAGTTGACTCTGAAAGAAAGGTTGAACATTTTAATTCAATTTTAATATTAAACACTATAATATGTCATATACTAATTGTTATTTCCCAAGAAAACAAAAGTATATTGGACAATCATCAACATGTTGGCGACCGAATTTAAGAGATAATCTTGTAACATTTTGTTAGTAAGTGAAATTTGTACACAGATAGGAAACTATGTAATAGTTTGTGACATAATCAGTGTTATGGCCTAATGTAGGCCCGCTTGAAACTGAGCTGGAAACACAATTTTAAAATAATTTTATTGGGATACAGGCATTAAGTCATCGTACTTAAATAGCTTTGCTGCGTGTCTTAATTTGAAGTTGATAACTTAGCTGAAGCTTAAACGTTTTACTTGGAAACAGATTCGCTTAGGCCTATTTATAAATAATAAGTATAAACTGGACCTTTCGTCGATTTTAAACTATTACATCACAATATTTGATTGTTATTTATGGAAAGCCAAATCCGCCAAAAATATTCCTAAAACAGAAAAGATATTTTCACCTGTTACGGTGTTTTATGGTGCATCCTCGCATGGGATTTCATTGCCGTCAGTGGTATGTCCACAAGCACATGTCTTGCCATCCGGTGTGGGAAGACAGAGGGCGCTACAGTCACCGTTGTTGTAAGCACAAGCATTAGTACCTACATAAACGAAGCCACAAAAAAAAAATCAAAAAAAAAATCAGACCTTCGACGTATTATGTGAAACCTCAAGAGTTGCAGGAGATATCGAGTGCTTGAAGGTATCAAACAAAAACAAAAATGTATATTGTTGATAAGATGAAAATATATTAAAGGAGAGATAACGTACTATAGTAGCGGTCTTAGTAGTAAACTTTCATGACTTTATAAGATGATGTAGAGTGACATCATACTTTAAAGACGAATTCTAATAAAAAAAAAAAAAAAAAAAAAAACAAACCACTCACGAACTCGTTCTTTGTATATAAGATAAGCAACAATGGTGAGTACATACAGCATTATAAAAGTGAGGTACATGAACGAGTGGCTTACCTGCAGGGCAAGACGATGCTGCAACAATTCCGTATAAGCGACCTGAGCCACCAGGTGGAGACTGCAGCGGTGTTCCGAGGGAGTTTCCATTCTTATCAATATTTTCAATTCTTCGACTAAAATAGTAAAAGTAATTCAGTTAATAGGTCTAATTTCAGAATTTATAATATTGTGATAGGTCGAATACTATTTAAAATATATTTGAAGAACCAAAATCACCATCTACTGCAAACCACATACACACACACTAACCAATATTTAGGTCTACTAATGGACTCATACCGTACCATTTTCTTCAAAACAAGCTATACGTGATAAGATAGAGCTAAGAACTTGTCACCAAAGAGGATCAGGGTAAGTTCGCAGATCTTTAAAATTAGCAGTTTAGAAAGAAATTTCTCTAGACACGCCGCTAATTAATTTTTCGTATTTCATTGTATTAGATATTTATATGATTTCTGTATTATTATTATTATTATTATTATTAAAGTGACGAATTCATAATAAAAATAAATAAATAAATAAACAAGAACATTCCGCTAACTTATAATTTCACCAAAAGACAAGATACAACTAGACTGTCAAGCCTCGTACATAGAAGACCAAACGGCTCTTGGTATCTGAAGGTGCTTTTTTAATAACAAATGTAAGAGTGCCCTTGTGATAAATGGGACTGTTTGCAATAAGAAATTTACTTACGATTGCCAGTCGGTCCAATAGAATATGTTGGAATGCACAGTTAAACTGAACGGGTAAGTTGCCTCAGAAGTGACAGTAAATCGAGAATTTGCGTCACCATCTAAGTTCATACATTCCACTTTACTTGTCCCTGAAAAGAAAACTTATTTGTCCTATCTTTGTAACTTCATATCACATCTTCCGAAAAACTCATAGATTATGTTTTCGCTAACCAAACCTGGTAAAATGTCACCTTATCAGTTACAGTAAGTCGTAATGATTTACTTTAGAATGTTGATACCTTGGTTTTGGTTAAATATCAATACATGTATCGTAGTATTTCATAAAACATAGAATATAGTGCGTGATTTTGGGGGGGGGGAATTCGAATGCCACACGTGAGAAAGTAGTAAATAATAGTAAAATGTTGTTAGTAACTATAATTCAAACTATTGATACTAGCAACGGTACCTGCATCAGCCCAGCATATCTGTTGACTATTGTAATCAATAGTGAGACCATTTGGAAGTTTGATGTTTTTATTGACCAGCACTTTTCGATCACTTCCATCAAGCGCAGAGGTCTCGATCTTTGGGTTGCTTCGTGTCCAATCTGTCCAGTATAGATTTCTGTGAACAGAACAGACGAAATGTGTTCTTGCATTATATTGTGTTAAATTCAGTCACTGCTTGGAAGATTTGACATTCTTATGAAACGATTAGGAATAAGTCACTTTGTTATTCGTGGCTACAGTAATTCTTTTTTCACAAACAGATGATTTTCTAAGGAATTCTTGCACGGAAGTTCGGAGTACTTTCTGTTTTATTAAATTGGCTACATAATATTTTCTTACTCGGATTGAAAGTTGGTTGGAAAGATTTTATCAGGAATAATCGGTATAGAATTAATCCATTGCTGATGCTGATCTAATTCAGGTTTAGATATCATTAATACACCGTGGTGTGTTTTACAATATTTGGGGTTTTATCATAATAATTTTGTTTAATAAATGACTGAAGTTATAGGCTAAAAAATCATGAATTTAAGGCTGAAAATCTTGTTTGTATATGAAATAAGCATTACCGTACGTACACAACGTAAAGTGACAGTAACGTAACATGTGTTAAACTGGCTAACGTTTGAATGTGATCTGAAAAATAAGGTACCACCAAAAAAATATGGATGTTTACATAAGGCACGAAAGCAGGCACTATGACGTGATTTGCTATTTTACATAAGTATTTACCCGCCAACTGGATCCACTACAACAGCACGTGGGTATTTCAGATTGGTGTTTACTAATACTCGACGGTATGAGCCATCGAGACTGGAAACTTCAATGCGGTGATACCCAGAATCAGTCCAGTACATGTTACGACTAATCCAGTCAACAGCAACACCTTCTGGGCTCAATAATCCTAAATAGACAATAGACACATTATTACCCCCGGATCAAACACGTATGGAACACAGTTGTGTTCAAACCTACCAGGTACCCATTTGTACTCCTGGGTGGAGAGAGGCAAACGTAGGTAGGTAAAGAGTCTTGCCTAAGGACACGTAAAGTATCTTGCCTAAGGACACAAGTAATACGACGAGCGTCGGTCTCGAACTCCGGATCCCGCGACCAGAACGCCTTACACGCTGTGCCACACACCACACATATCTTTACAGTCACAATAAGAATTACTACAATAATGATCCATTAAATGGAAATTTGGTTTCATGTATTTTCACAAGTGGAACTTACCTGAAACTGAATTTGGAATTTGCACATCTGTCAAGGGTAGTACCATATCATCAAATAAATTACTCATTTTGCAGCCATTGTTATCAAACACAATCGTTAATGATATTTATGCATAGGCCTTTCCAACAAAAATTCATTGTTTTTCTAATAATAAACCGATAGCAACGTTGTTACTCGTGGTAATTGAATTTATAAATTTACACCATGCAACCTCATTTTTCTGAGGAGTGCTGCAGTGAAACACTTCAGCAGAACAATACATTTCAATACGACACCATCCTACCAATGTAGGCACTACAAATTTATAGACCTTGGTTGGATATAAACAAAGTTTTTAATTATTATTATTGAGTAAACATGCGAAATGAACATAGTGCAACCTGGACCTCAAGTTCGACAGCACTGTACTGCACTACAATTTAATTTTTGCCAGCCAGACGCTTACTTCTCATTGTATTCCATCTTATTCATCAGCAGATGCCACTGGCGATATTTCTTCCATCAATAAAATGTAACTTTGTATTCACCCCTGGTATTCATGCCTACCTTTTCTAATGATGACCTTTGAACCAGTGCCGTCACTGCGAACACTGCTGATGGTCTTTGTACTGATGTCTGTCCAGTAGATGAGATCGTCTTTACAGTCGTAGCCTACTCCTATCATAGTCTGCCGAGAGTTCATAAACACCTTACGCCCAGCGTCACCATTCAGAGGCAAACTCATAATCGAGTTTCCTTGTGCAAATATTAGAACGCCATCACCACCACCACCAGTCTGGGTAGCTTATGAAGTAAAAGGAAACAATTATTGTCAAAGCACCGAATACGGTGGGATATTAAATACACTATCTTCTTATTTTAATTACTACTTACGAGGATCTCATATAGAAAGCTGACAAAAATCTCTTGATGATTATAAATCTTAGGCGAGATTTTTTATACCTTATTGTTTTTAAAGATCATCAGAGGGCGGAAAAAAATAAAAATAAAATTTAGTTTTATTTATTTAGCAAATAGTATTGCCAAAAACACCCAGACGGAGGAGAAAATAAAAATATTTTTTTTATTGATGAATGTACGGTAGTAATTGGATGTTATAATGCTTCAAATTTATTTAATTAGGAATTGAAAAATATACGTATCTTATTTTTTGAGATTGCAAAGAAGCGGCGGGCGTAATGAAAATAAAGAAAAACTTTCATTTTTTATGGCGGCGGGTGCGCTAATTGGCCAAAAAATAAAGATGTTATTCGAAATCATCATTATTGGCTGGCGGCAGGTCCCTTAACAAGGTATAAACAAAGTCTCGCCTTATGAAGATTGAGGCGTGAAAAAAGTATTACACGTTGTGCATTGTTAAGAATTAAATCCAGGAAAATGAGTTTTAAAAGCAAGCACAGTTCCATTGTGGATCTTTTTTTTCCATATAGGCCCTAGACGCAGACGTCGTCTTCAATACTTCTAATCACTCAAATGGTAACATAATGTCATCATGTATTATTGCTTCAATTATATTAATATTTAGATATTAGTAGGCTTAAGCTTTGCAAATATTGCCGGAAAAACTGATGTCCTAATTTGGTTTATGGATGACTTGTGAATAAACCAGAAACTGGAATTTTTTTGTTAATTGTATTTTCTTAATGACCAGAGAAACGATTACATCAAGGATTTCAAAACATGTCTACTCAGCAACAATGCATTTTAAGTATGTCTAAGGTTCAGTAGTTTGCATTCTTACCAGTACATGATCTGCCATCTCCTTCAAAACCAGGGAGGCAGATACAATTGTAACTGCCTTGGTAGTTTTCACACTTGGCGCGAGGGTGGCAATCATCTCTTCTCAGTGAACACTCGTCAATATCTAAGCAAAGAAATGAACATGTATGAAATGAAAATAATGAAATGAAAATATACTCCTGCATAATTTTTAAATGAAACACTCACACAAATGTTGGTACAATCTAATATTAGGCTACGTCATTCTGATTTGATTTTCTTTAGGCAAGTGATGTAGATAGGCTTTTATTAGTTTTTAAACTTTGATTGCTACCAGAATAATAATAAAAACTATATCGTCTCGCTTTTAAAAGAGCTCAACCCTCATTGAAAGTGTGCACGAAAAGAAAATTAGCGCATGTGAAAATATTAAATATTTAAATTTATAAAAAAAAAGTGCAATCAATAACGTAAAGTACTGAATACGATTCTAAATAATTAAAAATTTCATTTAGTTCTTTTAATGACTTTGTTAATAGAAGTTTACAATATTTATGGAAAAAAGAAATACTAAAAAGGCTTAGTTTATAAAGCATCATCCTCATCCTGCAAGTGGCGAGTATACTTGCTGTTGGATGTGACGAAAAAAAAAAATGATGTGTAAATCGTCATTACCTTTATTAAATAGTTGTTCTCTAATAAATTCTAGTTTTAAAATTATACATCCCTATCGGAGTTTTTGCGAAAAAAAAGTGCGAAAAACGCCGATTAAAAAGTGCGAATGCGCATACGCATGAACCGACGATGAATAAATTCGCCTAATGGAAAACAGGCTTAAAGCCGGTTTTCCACTAGGAATTTATTCGCGCGAATCGAAAGCGTCGTTCATGCACATGCGCATTCACATTTCTATCAGAGTTTCCGCTTCAGCGAAATATGGTAGTTCGAACTGTTTCTACTTTGTGCGCAACCAATCAAAGCTCATGAACCTAACCGACGCCTTCGATTCGCGCGAATAAATTCGCCTGGTGGAAAACCGGCTTTGAAGCCTGTTGTTTGTTGTTTGAGGCGAATTTATTCTCGCAAATCAAAGCGTCGGTTCGCTTCCTGAGCTCTGATTGGTTGCGCACTTTTTCGCTTCGCAAAAACTCCGATAGAAATGTGAATGCGATTGCGCATGAACAGACGCTTTCGATTCGCGAATAAATTCACCTAGTGGAAAACAAGCTTTACGGAACTTTCCTCTGGTACTCTAGCAAAAGCTACTTACCTGTACATATATAACCGTTTCCATCAAACCCGTCCAAGCACACACAGCTGTACAACTGACCAATACCCGGTATACACTGCCCTGCATACTGGTCACATTGATTGCCGTGACATGGATCCTCAGGCGGAATTTCTGTGAAGTCAATAATATAATATAATAATAATAATAATAATAATAATAATAATAATAATAATAATAATAATAATAATAATAATAATAATAATAATAATTTTACACAGGATAATAGTGATGAGGCTGGTATTCAGAGACATTGGTCTTTGTGCATTGGGAGCAACTCCCTTAATCGAAAGTTCATGAAATGTTCCCCTGAGGTTAAGTGTTGTCTTTTTAAATCATATCTCATTAATATGTATTGTACTGCATTATGGTGTGATTACCGTCATAGAAAAAAATATATATCTTTTTAGAATTTGCTATAATTATGCATGGTTATGCCATTGTTTTTGCCAATTTACTCTATTTGTTGTATGTATAATACTTTTGTCTGAAATAAAAGATTGAATTGAATTACACTGTGCGTATTGGTTGTTTTCCATTACTTTAGGCCTACCAATTTTTAAAAACATTTACCCGACAATTAGCACTTATCGCCTGTTCCATGTAGTTACGACAATGGGCTGGAAGCCAACTATAAATATCTAAAAAACACAAGCCTACTGTCTGAGGTAACCATTTAAACTACAATCTTTAAATTGAGAGACAGTGTAAATAGTGGGTTAGTTTGTTCTTGATAATCCAATTAATATTGTTTAAAAATATTAAGAAAAAAACCATACTCCCACGACGTTTCGCTGATATTCTATCAGCATTCTCAAGTGAACCATGGTGTTACAGTGTGAGTATGTTTTTTTCAAAAATATTAATTGGATAATCAAAAAACAACAAATCAACCCAATATTTAATATTGGATCCAGATGATTTTTTTTAATAATGTAAATAGCATTTAGTTTGTGCGTTTGTTAATTGGCAAAACATATATTTTCCTTTTAATTTTCATTTGAAAGTTAATAAGTTGAGATATAAAAAAAATATTTTAATAACCAAGCAGGGCGTATGATGTATAATATGAAGCCGTTCAACACTGCTACTGAAACATTGCAGCAAGGTTTTGGCATGATTTTTACTTACGACACCTAGCGTTTTTTCACTTAAACTTACCTACACACTCTACGCCATTACTGATAAAACCATCATTACAATAGCATGCTGAATCGAATTCATTTTTCGTCTCACAGTGTGCGTTTGATTGGCATACAATAGAAGCACAGCCATCGGTAGCTATAGGAATAGAGTACATGCAGTACAAAGAAACAGAGAATCTAAGAACCAAGCAAGTGTTAAGCAACAAAGTTTAGCAACATTAGAGAGTTTTTGCTAGCTTACGAAAAACGATAACGAATACAGTTACGTCATCAAATCTTTAGACAACCCTTCCCTACAGTAGCATATTTGTCACAACGTAGACGATTCAAGCCTTTTTTGCATGAATTAATAATCACATTCAGCTCATACAGCATATTATCAAGTATGTTTTAGGCACGAATGACGATAATGGCAGGCGCGGATCCAGGATCCAGCAGTGGGAGAAAGGAGAGCACGATTGTTTACCACTTATTTACACCAACAATGGTGGGGCGGAGGTGGGCGTGGCGACGTGGGCTTCATATTGTGCCCCCCGTCAGAAAATCTCTGGATCCGCCCCTGATGATAATGACGTATTCGTAGTATGCCTATTCGTTATCGTTTTCATCAAGCCTGGTTTCCTTAACCTCGCTACACTGTCGCTACAGTTTTTTTCAGTGCGATCGTTGCACTGCGTAGCAGTTCCTGACGCAATCGGGAAGGCTCTCCTATTCGACGGACAAATCAGCATCACCGAAAGCTGTTGGCGATAGAGTGTAGCGATTGTATGGAAACCGAGCTTAAGGTTTTGAAATCTCCCGAATAAAAAAAAAAGGTTACAGATACGTTATCAGTTTTATAATTTCTGAGCCGGTCTACATTCATATCTATGGTTTACACAAGGACTTTTTATAGTTCTTGGGTTACGAAAATAATCGATTCGTAAAAGAAAACGTATACATTCAATAACACAAGGATTCAGATTGAGTGAATTTAGCTACAAAACAATGCAAATCGGAATAGTGTATACAGTGCACCCTGAGTTCGTTTATGTGTTGCATGTTATCAAAAAGTGGAAATAGAATTTCCGTAGGGCACAATTACCACAATTTTATAAGGTTGCGAAATTAACTAATCACCACAATTAGTGTAAATCCTATATATATAAAACCAAATATAAATTTTAAATTGAGATTACATCAATTTTTATTTTACCAGTTTTTATTTAATATTATAAAATATAATATAAAATATAATATAAATTTTAAATGGGGATTATATTAATTTTGATTATAGGCCTACTAGTTTTGATTTAATGCCAAAATATCAATCATAATACACAATTACGGATTTTTTACACCTTTTACTTTTAGATTGTTTAAGAAGATTTTTTTTGTAAACATTTGAGTATATAGATCTCGTTCTTGTGTGCTGGAGTACCTTATAGTTTCATTTCAATTCAATTTCAATGCTAATAATCAAAATAAATTAAATAATTAAAATTGATGTGTCGGTTGTTAAAGAAATCCAGATTTAGGCCTAATCAACTTTTATAATAGTATAAGGTTTTTACAATCATATTTACAATTAGTTTGTATGTGGGAGGTAAAATAAAGAATGTTTTTTGACTTGATGTATTAGAGGAAGGTATTAGGGACGAAAGGTCACCATACCTTCTTGTATTTCACACTTGTCACCAATGAATGTGTAGCCATGGTTACACACGCATGTTGCCAAGTTTTCTTGGTCGAGTTGACACCGTGCATTATGGTCCAAGCAAATAAAACCTTCGCATGCATCAACGACTAGAGCAAAGCAAAGCAAGAGAAGCGCAAAAACAAGAAAAGAATCATCTAAATATAAATATCAAAAAGGTATAATAATTACTATAATGAAGATTACAATAACAAACAAAAAAACCAAAACAATAATAAACAATAATCAGAAATATAACTAAAATACATAACAAATCACAAAAATAACAAAAACAACAAAAACAAAAGTAAAAGCAATAATAATACAAATAATAACAAAAATAACATTATCAAGGCCTATTACAGAAATACCGGGTAGCTATAACAAAATTAATTTCCACATATAGTATCCAGACTATCAAATGTTATTTGACAAAAAAACTGTTGTATGCCCATATATAGTCATGATGTGCCTATATATGGTAATGATGTGATGTCATCATGACCATATTTAGGCATTTCATATGTTTTTGTCAAATAAAATTTGATAGTCTTGACAGGGTTTTTGATTAGTTTTGTTAAAATCGATGTGAAGCAGCATGCACTGCAATGCTGTTAGATGAAAATATAATAATATAGTTATAATATATATTATATTAACACTTAATTGACCACCGAAATAACTTAATATATAAATATTAAAGCCAGCAACAGCCATTTTCCCTACTCGAGAAGGTAGCACCTAAATCATCAGAATAAAATAGTGCCACACATTTAACTTAACTTAAAAGTCCGAAATTGATGTACACGTTGGCGCTAAAGCTAAATTGCGGTCCATTCAGTTTTTATAAATAATTACATTAATAGAGACGGCAAAATGAAAACTGAATAATAGGCCTACTTTAATAAATTAACATTAAATATAATAATGTATCAAACATTTATTATAAAGGCGCCACGATTTGTAAATCATAAATCCCAAGCAAACCATTGAACAGAGAAATAATTAAGAAGAAGAAACGAGGGTAAAATGACTACAAAATCAATGTAGCTATAGACTAGACGAATTAAAAGAAATTTCAAAAGCTTTACAATATACTAGGCTATATATAAGCTAATGTTCTTACCAACGCAGAAATCACCATCTTTTCTGTAATTCTCCAGACATATGCACTGTGCATTTCCGGAACTATCTTCTTCACAGTACGCATTCGAGGGACAGTTATAGAACTCACAAGGACCTATATGCATTAAAAAAAAATTGATTAATGTTTTTGATGTAGCCATAAAAAATTGCAATAGGCCTATGTTACTAATATACATTATAAAGTCATACAGTGAGTTATCTTTTTACCTCGGCAATTGAAGCCATCAAAGATGTAACCTTGTCTTAAGCACACACATTCGTGTCTATTTGCGAAAACCGAACAGTAAGCGTCAGTGCCACAATTGACGTTGGCACAAATGTCTACAACTAAAAAGAGAAACATAAGAACATTTTGACTACGCAAATTTCAAAATTCATGTGAGATATTTGCACATTACACAAGGCTAATACAATTCAGAATTACAACCATATTTCTTATTACATTTCGCAATAAAAGTACCCTACCGTGTATATTTCCTATGCACATTATTATTTCATTTTACAGTATTTACTGCCACTACTACAAACACCACTACTAACGGCACCATAAAGGAGAAAATATGCAAACGCAGTTGCCTCTCGGAGCTTGGCTCTCTTTGGAAAACCTTGAAAACCTTTAAATTTTATACAAAATAATAAATTGCTGATTTTTACAAGGCAGGGGCGGCGACAGGATTTCCCCGACGAGGGGTCCGAGCTCCCCGACAAGGGGGTCCACTCCCCTCTGGGGAGGGAGGGTGGGAATCGAACAAATCAGCAGTTTCGAAGATTTACAGACTGGGGAAAAGACTATTCCTTATTACCAGCAAATTAAATATTTGAAACAGGTGAAATGTCTAAGAACATTGTTATTCTTTTATTATTAATTGACGATGAACATTTTTCTTTTTCTAATACATTTGTATAAACTTCTACTCATTTATTTTATCAACGTATTGCTTTGTACGTCAGTTTGTAGTAAAATATGTAACAACAAGATCCCTCGAAAATTGTCAATCTTCAAATGTACATAGTGATAATATTCTGTAACGTAGGTCTTATTCAATTACAGAATTATTATTGTTTTAATATTGAAGAATTCATGGATTGGTGATTTTTTTAGAGGTTTAACTCAGTGAGCAAGCGCAGCAAAAATCGAAACAACACGGAAGAAATCTATTCGAGTGCATCCTTTGTGGATTAACCAATAGCCATATGCTTAAAAAATCACTTCCTACATATCCAATTTATTGACATCGAATTGATATGCTTACACCACATAGAAATATGTAAAATTGTTGTGTCCGCAGCCAACCTACCTCTGCAATTACGACCATCTCCTTCAAATCCTTCATTGCATTCACAAAAGAAGCTGGTTCCCTGGGGGACGCAAGTGGCATCTCCACTACAGTCATTTTCTGCGCATGGGTCAACTACAGTCTCTTAAGACAGGAGTAAACTTATTTGGTTATAAACAAAATTTAAAAAAAAATTAAATATCATTAGCCTTTACAGATAGAAGGTATAATAAAATTTAATTTATAAAATTGCACATATATGGTATCAATATTTTAAAAAAAATAATTAAAATTCAGCTTTTCGCCTTCTAATGTGTGTTATTGACCTGCAAATTGCAGGATTAAAACAAAATTGCTTCACTAATCACTAAGAATATTATTCTAGCACCAATGCAATAATGGCTAATGTTCAGAAGACCGCAAAGAGATAGTGCAGTCGCCTACAATGCCACTTGGTACAGTGACGGTGAGCATTCAATACACGTAGCCACTGTCTGTTTCTATATTCTTTAAATAGCCCCAGAAATCTATAAATTCTTTCTTATAGATGCGTATCATTGAAAGTTAGTAAGTTATTTTGTACATTTAAATGTTTTACTTTAGTTTTGGGGGTTTCCAGATTTTATGGCAAAAGGTATATCTATTTGGAATATTAATAAACATGTCAATATTATTGGATTGTCCTTGACTTACGATCACTTAGAGCTATTCTTGATGACGTTGCAAACCTGAGGATTCCACCATCATTACTGCTATCGAAAGAGGTGTATTGCTGCAAGATGGTCAGACTCATTGAGTCTTGGCCGGCAGGTCTATCGCGCTCATCAGCGGTGCACTCTTGGAAACTTATAGTCTGGTCAATACTATAACGAATGGTGAAGTCAGTGAATTCTATATTACGGCTGCTGACTGAGCGAATACGACCTGAAATAATTGAAAGTGTTATTTTATTATTTACTCTAATGCTTCTGGTATTGTGTGCAGTGAAATAAATCTGGGGCGACAATCACAGCCTCGAATTTTCAGTGCCTATCTGTCATTTTACATCTCCCCAGAGATCGAATGTAAATACCGCCAATCAGCCGTACAATAGTAAAAAGGACAAATAATCCTGAATTACATAGAGTGAGCACCACTGTTTTAGGTCATGTATCAGGACAACATCAGTGGCGGATCCAGCAGAGGGGCATGAGGGCCCGTGCCCCCCCCCCCACCTCGTCAGTCAAACCAAAAAATTTAAAAGAGGGAGAAAAATTTTAAAGAGAGGAATGAGGGAAAAAGGAGTGCACACATGAGTTCAGTGGCAATCCAGGAGTGGGTGAAAGGAGAACTCGATTATTTACCACAATGTTTGGGCTGAGGTGGCCGTGGCGGCGTGAACTTCATTTTGTGTGCCCCCCCCCCCCCCCCCCCCCCCC